AGGTAAAAACTCACCATTTTACAAAAATTGTTGACAAAACTGCAAAACAGTTTGACAGAAATGAAGTATAGACCAACATTGCACATTGAATACTAAGATAAGGTTGAAAAAGATAAATGATTTAGACATAAAGGGTGATATCATACATAAATTGGAGGAGCATTGAAAAATGGATGTATCAAATCTATACATAAGGGAAAAGTTCATGACCAACAAGAGATAGAAAAGATCAGAGGAAGTAATATGAATAACTTTGCATGAAATCAAAAATGTTTTAGGCAAACAAAACTAATGTAGCCAAAATTAAAGAGAAAGCAGGAAAGAAAATTTTTCTTTTTATAACAAATGTCTTTTATAAACATCCCACTTCACAAATACATAGGGAACTGAGCCAAATTTAGAAAAAATACAAGCTATTCCTCAATTTATAAATTGTCTAAGGTTATGAACAGGCTATTTTCAGAAGAAGAAATTAAAAAATGCTCTAAATCACTATGAATTCGAGAAATACATGTTAAAAGAACTCTGAGATACCACTTCACAGCTATCAGATTGGCAAAGATGACAGAAAAGGAAAATGACAAATGCTTGATGGAATGTGGAAAAGTTAGGAAATGAACACACTATTCATTGGGCAACTAGTTGGCACAGTGTATAGATTGCTGGCCCCAGATTCAGGAAAAATCATCTTTGTGAGGGCAAATACCATCTCACACATACCAAAGAAGGGAACCTAGTACTACAGGGGCTTCTTCTCCTTGTTTCTGATATTGAGGAACAAATTGACAAGGCATTCCTCAAATGTTCTCCTATCTAGAGTGGTGCAGGACCAAAGTGTTTTTATTTTTGTTTTTTCCTGATTGATGAAATAGTCACTCATATTTCTGACTGACTGGTTTGTTGATAGAATTGCGTTTTATTTAGCCTCACAGTTTCGATTAAACAAAGACGTAGGTTTGAATATGTCTAGAAATCTAGAAGCAATAAATTAATTATTTTTTAAGGTACAGTGCAGCAAGCCAAGAAATAGAGACTATCCATATACACCGTATATGGCTTTATAAACAGAGATTCATCCATACAGACAAATTTTTAAAAAAATTTACCCAGTACCAGGGTGACGGAGATACATTAGGGAGGAAATACACTCAAAGGTAGGGTTCAGGTGGCAAAACTACGTTTGGCTTCTGAATTTGGCACTACTGAAACTTAGAGTGCTCCAAAGAACACAGCTCTCTTCTGAGCTAGGGCATTAGAACCAGACACCCTGAATGAAGATCTTGGCACTGTTGGCTTCAGTCTGCTTTCAGACTAGGCGTAGGTCTGTAAAACACCTAATCTGGTTGTAACCAAACAAAATTATTCACTTCATTCTAACTTTTGGACTAGCATTAGACCTCATCATTTCATTTCTCAACTGTAGCTCCTGGTTTAATATCAGAAAGATCAACTTACATTGGACCTGTGCAAGCCTTCCAGAAACCCAGGGCCATGCAAGTGGTTTAATGGCAGTTCATTACATTACTAAAGTGGAGTCCAACTTTTTCCTGAAGCAAGGTAGGGGTTAGGAACACTAAGGGAGACTGGACTTTGGCCCACAGGGAAGGGAACTGCTGCCAGGCTTGCCCTTTGGCCAGCCCACAGAGCAAAACTGTGGAGGCATGCCTAATTCCTTTGGTAAGAAAGAGAAATACCCCCCAAATGTGAAACTGGTGAGGAGAAAAGGAAACCACACCAAGCTCCTGAAAGTGCAGACTTCATAAAGAGGACCCTACTGCACTACACTATACTTATTAAATGTGAATATAAACCGCATTAAAGTAGAGGAAAGCAACAGGGGGAGAGGAAACCGAGAGTCAAAAAGCAAACTCAAGGAGAGAGAGCCTCGATTTCACCTTCACCAATGTCACAACCTTTTTCTTTCCCATACCATACACACAGTAAGATGGTCAGAGGCCAGATAAAGACATTGCCTCTGATCAGGGCACTACTTGCTTTGCTTGGTTTGCTGAAAAACCCATCTTTGGGAGGGGAGACCAACAGAAGGAAAAATGACCCAACATCCCCAACATTCATTTCAGAGACAGATCATTGTCTTTACCAGAGAAATTCAGCTGATAAATTAAAGGTTTTATTAATGTGCAGTGCAGCAAGCAGAGAAATGGGGACTATCCATGCACACCTTCTATGGTATTATAAAAGTCAGAGATTCATGCCCACAGAAGAAAAAAACTCACCCAGTACAAGGATGAGGGAGATACACCAGGGAGGAAATAACTCAACTTTAGGGTTCAGGTGGCAAACAATACTCCCTAAGACTGGGCTTGATTCACAACCAGTTATTTGTGTCAAATATAGGAGGAAATATTCCTTATTAGGCCCATATGTGAAGAAGTTCTCAAGGTCACTTATCAACGCTAGGTTTGGGTGAGGTTTGGGTAGGGGGAGTTTCTGCATCTTTATATAACAACCTGGGGGAAGGGTTTCATGTTAACTGTCTTAGGCACTAGAAAACAGAATAAATTCAGAATACTCCAGTCAGTCCAGGGTTTCATCCAATAGAAAGCTCCAAGCCTCATTTGCCTGACACCAGTAGAAAAGACAAAATCTTTGTTACAAATTTTGATGAGCTTTAGGATTACTTCATCTAAGTCACACCATACTGGAATTCTGTCATTATAAGTATAATATTCAAATATATCTACAACACCAAATAATAGAAAGTTTAAAATGATCACAAGTGCACTGTCTATCAGACCATTCACAAGGTTCATTAATTGCACTGAGTTTTCAATCCTTTTATGTCTAAGAAATATAAACTATAGGGCAATTTCTCTCAAATGTACAATCAGAACTCGATGTGCATGCCATTAACAAATGAAAAATGACCCTGACATGAAGAATTTTTCTATTTACTATCATTGCAATGTTGCCTATATTTGAGATGAACATTTGTGCAAATAATTCCTCCTCTGAGTAATGAGACGGCTCCTTTTGAAGGTTTAGAGCCTGGGATTCAATACAATCCTTACAATCCTCGTTATTATGCCCAGTCCTTTTACTTGGCTTTTTTCCTTTCTTTTCATACTATTTTTAAACTTCTTATAGTTGTGGAATCTTAGGAGGCCACATAGTGATTGGACTTGGTTTGGAAATTGTCCTTAGGAGGTCATCACAATGAATTCAGCGATGAAGGCATAGGACTCTCTTCTAAGATATCTCCTAATTGAGGTGTGTGAAATGCACAATATTTCTACTTCCTTTTGTTTGTCTTATGTATCCAATAGGTGGCTTTTTGCTAAGACCTAAGCATGGGAACTCTCTGATAACTATTTCCCTTACTCTCATTCAATTCTTTTCCATCTTGTATGTCAGGTTATTCTTCCCTCAAAGTTCTCCTTTTCACTCCTTCTTCTAATTAAATATCCACGGTTAATTTCTTCATTCTGCTAGAATTTCTTCATTTTGTCTTTATTCTGATCATATTTCTACTCTGCAAATGGAGAAGATACTGCAGTAATTTCATGAGTAAAGTATATCTTGAAAGTGTCAACTGTTAGGGTTTTTCTTTCTTAAAAGCCAATAAAGGGGGGCAGCTTTGTGGCGCAGTGGATAGATCACCGACCCTGGAGTCAGGAGGACCTGAGTTCAAATTCAGCCTCAGACACATAACACTTACTAGCTGTGTGACTCTGGGCAAGTCACTTAACCCCAATTTCCTCATGCAAAAAAATAGCCAAAAAAGGTTGTTACTGATGAATTTTCTGTATGTACAGGGAAGAAGAACTTCAGGCATTTCAAGTGAAATGACTCAAGCATCATGTTTTCCAAGGACTTGGTGAAAGACAAGAGAGCAATTCATCAAATTAGCAGATGACACAGATCTAGAAGGGTTTGATAAAAGATGCCATAAGAAACTCAGGACACTACACATTCTTGAAAGGCTCAAGGATGGCATTGAATCAAGTCACACAAAACTTAATAGTGATAAACATACTCTTCATTCTGCCTTTCTAATCAACAACATAAGAATACTGAGGTGTGGTCACGATTAGAAGAAGTATTTCAGAGTTGTAATGAACTTTGAAGTGATTCATTTTTTAACTTAATAGCATTTTTTCAATTACATGTAAAGATAGTTTTCAACATTCAATTTTGTAAGATTTTGACTTTCAAATTTTTTCCCTCCTTCCCTCCCTCCCATCCTCGGGGACAGTGCCCCAAGACAGCATGCAATCTTGTATAGGTTATATATTTACAATCACATTAAATATATTTCCACATTAGTCATGTTGTGAATGAAGAATCAGAACAAAAGGACAAAACCATGAGAAAGAAAAAACAAATCAAAATAGGATGCTTCAATCAGCATTCAGACTCCAGAGTTCTTTCTCTGGATGTGGATAACATCTTCTATCACAAGGGAATTGTCTTGGATCATTTCATTGCTGAGAAGAACTAAGTCTATCACACTTAATCATCACAGATTGTTGCTGTCACTGTGTACAATTCTGCTGGTTCTGCTCACTTCACTCAGCATCAGTTCATGTAAGTCTTTCTAAGTTTCTCTGAAATCTACCTGCTCATCATTTCTTAAAGCACAATAGTATTCCATCACAAGCATACACCACAGCTTGTTCAGCCATTCTCTACTTGATGGGCATCCCCTCAATTTCCAATTCTTTATCACCAGAAAAAGAGCTGCTTTAAATACTTTTATACATGTGAGTCCTTTTCCCCTTTTTTATGATGTCTTTCTTATACCAACCTAGTAGTGGTATTACTGGATCAAAGAGTATGCACAGTTGTTTTTTTATTAATCAATCAATTTCATTGATCAGTTAAGCAAATGGATAATTAATTAATGAAAATCTTCTACCCCTTAACTTGCCCAGCCCCTCCTCTCTCCAGGTTTCAAGCCTTTCCTCAAGTCTTATCTCTGCTGCTTCTCTCAATCAACCCAGGCAATTTTCTGTTCCAGAGACTCTCAATTTGACTTTATGTCCCCTGCCCAGCCCTGGTTCACACAGGAGCAACTCTCTGGGTAGGTTTTCTGGGTAGGCTCCTTCAAACAATCTTCCCTTAGTACAAACTTTAGCATATCTAAACCAGCACATTAATACTGATTGCTCATGCCCCGAGACAGACTAGGGAACTCTGGAATCAAAAACTATTTGTTTTGTTTTTTTGTTTGTTTGCTTGTTTGTTTTATGCTTCGTTTTTGAAACCGTTGCCTTTTTTTTTCATAATTCTCCTGCATCACTCTTCATTCTTTTCCAATTTTTTTTCTTTTAGCTCTCATATTTGATTTTTTTAAATCTTTTTTGAGCTCTTTCAAAAGGACTTTTTGGATATGAGACCAATTCACATTCCCCTTTGAGGTTTCACATTTGGCCTTGACATTGTTGTCCTCTTCGAGTTTGTGTTTTGATCTTCCCTATCAAGATAGTATTTTTCTATGGTCAGAGTTCTTTTCTGTTTCTTACTCATTTTCAGTCTATTTCATGGCTTTTAAAATTAATCTCTGCTCCGGGGACACAGGGGAGCTATTCCAAGCTTCTTATGCTGGCACTAAGGGGCTAGGTCACTGGATTTTCACACTGGGTCCTCAGGTGCTTGCAGCTTGCCCACTGCAATGGGGTTACTCTATTCTATTCATGTTGGTTGTGGCTGGATTCCAAGGCTTGCAATTGGTCTCCAATTGTCTTAAGATACAGTAACAAAACAGAAGCCATAAATTTGATCTGTTCCTTCCCTCTGCTCTATATTCACTTTCATGTCTCAGAATTCCTAGTTTCATTAAAATTTCAGCTCATTTGACATGAAGTCTTTTCTGCTCCCCCTGAGCTGTTAGTCACTTCCTTCACATAATATTTTATCACCATATCTCTAATATAATCTATTTGTTGCTATATGGACACATTTTCTCTGCCAGCTAGTATGTAATCTCTTTGAGGATATTATTTTTCACTTTTGTCTCTAAGCCCACATGACTTGCAAATGCCTGCATTCTAGTTGAGGCCTCATAAATGTTTCTAAGATGATTGAAATCACTCGTTCATCATTTTAGTCTCTGCTTATTGGGAGCTCCAGTTTCTGTCTTTCAGTTGACTACATTGTGAGTTTGAGACTATTTATTTATGTTCTCTTCCTCATTCTCATTGTTTTCGTTACCGACTTTGACACTGTTCATCACTCTCTCCTCTTGGGTGCTCTCTTCTATCAAGGTTTGATTAGCAGTTTTGCCTTGTTCTCCTCCTCCTTTTCTTACTGCTCCTTCCCTTTCTCCCTTGCTCTATTCTCTTCATATAACACTGCCTACTCTAGGTGTTCCACAGGGATCTATCTCTAACCCACTCTACTACTTTGCTTGGTTATCTTATCAACTTCTATAACTTACATAGCATCTCTTTGCTGATGATTCTCATATATACCTGTTCTGGCACAAACTCTCTGCTGATCTCACATCTCATATCACCGACTGCTTTTATTTTTTAATTAATTTCTTTTTAGTTCTCAACATTCACTTCCATAAGCTTTGGAGTTTTAAATTTTCTACCTCTCCCTTCCCTGCTCCCTCCCCAAGACAGTGTGCAATCTGATATAGGCTCTACATATACATATCTATCAAACATATTTTCATATTAGCCATGTTGTACAAAAGAATTAGAACCAATAGGAGGAACCATGAGAAAGAAGAAACAAAACCAAACAGAAGAAAGAAAAAAGAGCAAAGAGTATGTGTCAATCTGCAATCAGACTCCATGGTTCTTTCTCTGGATGTGGATAGTATTGTCTATCATGAGTCTTTTGGAAATGGCTTAGATCCTTGTATTGCTGAGAAGAGCTAAGTCTATCAAATTAACAGTGAACAATGTGACTGTTACTTTGTACAATGTTTTCTTGGTTCTGCTCACTTCAGTCACCATCAGTCCATACAAGTCTTTCCAGGTTTTTCTAAAGTCATCCTGCTCATAATTTCTTATAGCATAATAGTATTCAGTTGTCTTAGTTTCAATTTTATTAATCTCTCCTTTGGTTTTCAGCATTTCTAATTTTGTATTTAATTGGGGGTTTTTAATTTGTTCTTTTTCTTGCTTTTTTCGTTGCATGCCCAATTCATTGATCTCTTCTTTCTTTATGTTGTTCATGAAAGCATTTAGAGATAGAAAAGTTCCCCTAAGAATCACTTTCCCTGCATCCCATAAGTTTTGGTAAGTTGTCTCATTACTGTCATTCTCTTGGTTGAAGTTATTATTTCTATGATTTGTTTTTTGACCCACTCATTCTTTAGGATTAGATTATTTAGCTTCCAATTAATTTTTAGTCTATCTTTCCACAACCCTTTAGTAGAGGTATTTTTATTGCATCATGATCTGAAAAGGATACATTTAATATTTCTGCCTTTCTGCATTGGATTATGAGGTTTTTGTGCCCTAGTACATGATCAATTTTTGTGCAGGTGCCATGTACCACGGAGAAAAAGGTATATTCCTTTCTATCCCCATCAAGTTTTCTCCAGAGGTCTACCATATCTAACTTTTCTGAAATCCTATTCGCTTTCTTAACTTCTTGTTTATTTTGTGGTTAGATTTGTCTAGTTCAGAGAAGGGGAGGTTCAGGTCCCCCACTAGTGTAGTTTTGCTATCTATTTCTTCCTGTAACACCCTGATCTTCTCTTCTAAATATTTTAATGCTATACCACTTCCATATATGGTTAGTAATGATATTCATTGTCTATGGTGCCTTTTAGCAAGATTTAGTTTCCTTCCTTATCTCTTTTAATAAGATCCTTTTTTTGCTTTTGCTTTGTCTGAGATCAGGATTGCTACTCCTGCTTTTTTTTTTTACTTCAGCTGCAGCATAATATATTCTACTCCAGTCTTTTTCCTTTACACTGTGTGTATCCCTGTTCCAAATGTATTTCTTGTAAACAACATATTGTAGGATTATGGTTTTTAATACATTCTGCTATCCACTTCCATTTCATGGGAGACATCAACTGCCTTTTTGATAAAGGACCAGTGAACAGCTTAAGTTCTGTACATCCAAAATGGAAATCATTTTCTTTTGCCCCTAAAATCTTGCCCTCCTACTTTCCCTATTACTGTCATGGGCAAAATCATCCTCTAATGCCCTCTGGCTCCCAGCCTTGCAGTGATCCAACATTCTTCTTTATCCCTCTCCCCACTTATCCAAGCTGTTGCCAAAGGCTGTCAATTTCAGCTTGGCAAGGTCTCTTAAATATATAACTTCTTCTCTGTATGTCTGTGTGCCTCTTCCTTTTTCTGTCTCTCTGTCTCTGTCTTTCTTTCTCTGTCTATCTCTGTCTGTCTGTCTCTCTCTGCCTTTCTGTTTGCATGTTTTCTTTCCCATTAAGATGTAACCTCCTTAACAACAGGACTTTTTTTGTTGTTTTTGTATCCTTACTATATAGCACAGTACCTGGCACATAGTAGGCACTTTAGTAAGTGTGGATTTATTGATTCCCTGGTTCTCAGTTATCCAGCTTTTAACAGAGCAATATTGTGTCCTTACTTGAAAAGGATAGGAAGATGAACTGCATCCAATAAATATGTCTTGAAATTCTAAATCTTGAGAATCTTTTTGCTTTACCTCAGGTAGTTATTTTAGCAAGGATGAGATCAATACTTCTCCTTGAATCTTTCAATGTTACCCATTTCATTTTCCTGAAAATCCTAATTTTGAAATACATGTATTCCATTTTTACCCCAACATAGAATCTTAAAAATCTTTACAACATATCTAAAATCTATGTTAACACTATATTTCACTAATCCCAGCTAATATGTTTTGCATGGTGAAGGGGGTCATTGAATATATCTCCAAATTGAAAGTTTAGAATTAGAAGTTCCTCATTCTATATTTGCATAAGATAAAAAATCAGACAGCTTGGTTTGTTCAGTTCCATTTTAAGAATAGATATATTGTAATGTCTAAAGCACATCATCATTTCTTTGTGTGTGTGTGTGTGTGTCCTTGAAAGGATTTTGAAGGATATTTACTTAAAGTCCCTCATTTTACAGATGTGGAGGTTGATGTTCATGGATGTCAAATAATTTGTCCAGGACCACCCTGTTAGCAAATGTTAGAGGCAAGATTTAACATAGGACTTCCTGACTCCATGTCCAACAGTCCATCTGCTATGACTACTTGTTCTTTTTACACATACAGAGTTTGCCTTGTTCTTTATATTTTTCTCTCACTTTAGTACATTGCGCAAATATTACCAACATATCCTCACTTTCCAATTTGCTGTGGATGAGATCAACAAGAACCCCAATTTGCTGCCGAACATAACCTTGGGATATCAGTTGCTCAATAACTTTCATCTAAACAGTCTAGCTGTGGAGAGCTCCTTGATATGGCTGTCACGGATGGGTCCAACTGTCCCTAACTATAGCTGTGGCAGGCAGCCCAATTCAGTGGCTATCATTGGAGGGATGTCATCCACATTGTCCATGGCCATGGCCACCATTTTAAAACTTTATAAAGTTCCACAGGTAAGGGAGCACAATACTGTGACTCATTTTCATCCAATATGTTCTTTGTATTTAAAACAGCAAACTCTTTCTAATCTGCTCTGGTGCAGTGTTAGTGAGTCAATAAACAAGTAATAAGAAGTTCTAGTTACTATTCTGACAAAAGAAGACACAAAAAAAGAGTAAAACAGAGTTGTGAGTATCTCTCCCGTAGCGCGACCTCTCAGGCCACACGCTGCCCCTCCTCCCGCCGCCGCCGCCGCCATGCCCCGAAAAATCGAGGAAATAAAAGACTTCCTGCTGACAGCCAGGTGACAAGATGCCAAATCTGTCAAGATCAAGAAAAACAAGGAAAACGTGAAGTTTAAGATTCGCTGCAACAGGTAGCTGTACACACTGGTCATCACAGACAAAGAGAAAGCAGAGAAACTTAAAACAGTCCCTGCCTCCTGGTTTGGCTGTGAAGGAGCTGAAGTGAAGGAATCATTCAATATTCCACCTGTATTAAAATGAAGGGGAAAAAAAAGGAAAAAAAAGAGTAAAACAGTCCCTTCCATCAGGGAACTCATTCTGTCCTCTAGGTGAGATGGTGCTATATTGGTTTAACTCTGATGATTTTGAACCAAGTAAAAATCTGGCTAACTAATGATCACTACACCACCCACTAGGAGTTTATATTTGTATGGAATTCAAAATATTTTAGAGGGAAGAAATATTTCTTTTTGCCTTACCTCAGAAAATTCCCAGGAAAAGGGCTTTGTTTCTTTTCATTCTAAAATTGATTTGTTATATTTCCCCTAAAAGAATGAATCTCTAGACCTTTCCTTTAGCAGTTGGTGCTACCAGGAATCATCTAATTCTGTGTTTAGAGTGATCTTCCAATATGGGCTGATAATGTGCCACCTTCCTGCATCTGTACCTGATTTGCAAAATTTATGATGTATTCCTTCAGAACAGAAATAATTTATATATTCAATTCAAGTTATTTCTAAGAAATATTTTAAATTATATGTATGTATGTATAGATAGATGTATAGATAGACAGATAGATAGATGGCACAGGGTGATTTGAAGATGAAGGGGTGATATCTGGAGAATAAAATTTAGAGGTTAAAGAAGATTATACTGGGAGAAGGAGAAAGGGAGAGGTGGAATGGGGTAAATTATCTCACATAGAACAGACAAGAAAAGGTTTTTACAATGGAAGATAAGTGGGGGAAGGTGGGAGGGAATGAGTGAATCTTATCCTCATAGTATTTGGCTTAAGGAAGGAATAACATTCACACTCAATTGGGTATGGAAAGCTATCTTACCCTACAGGAAAATAGGGCAAAAAGAGATAAGGGGGGTCAGATGATAAGGGGAGGGCAGATTAGGGGAGAGGGTAATCAGAAACAAACACTTCTGAGGAGGGACAGGGTCAAAAGAGAGAATAAAATAATAGAATAAATGGGGGTAGGGATAGGATGAAGGGAAATATAGTTAGTTTTTCACAACATAACTACTATGGAAGTGTTTTGCATGGCTACATATGTATAACCTGTATCGAGTTGCTTGCCTTCTCAGTGAGGGTGGGTGGGGAAGGAGGAAGGGAGAAAATTTGGAACCCAAAGTTTTAAAAACAAATGTTAAAATTTGTTTTCATATGTAGCTGGGAAATAAGACATACAGGAAATGGAGTATAGAAATCTATCCTGCCCTACAGGAAAATAGGAGAAGGGGATAAGAGAAGGGAGGGGATCAAAAGGAGGGCAGATTAGAGGAAAGGGTATTCAGAATGCACACTGTCTTGGGGTGGGGGAGGGACGAGATGGGGAGAAAATTTAGAACTCAAAATCTTGTGGAAGTGAATGTTGAAAACTAAAAATAAATAAATTAATAAAAAAGAAGAAAAAAAGAAATAATTTTTTATCAAGTGAATGTTAGTAGCAATTGTTTCTGTTTTGTTTAGAAACACTCATGGTCTTCCCCTCGCAGATCTATATTTTTGACTAGGTAAAGAGGACATTCTCTGCTTCATTTGTTACTAAGCCTTAATTACTGAACAGGCATTGCCCCAGTCAAACTGAAACCTTTTAAGGACCTTAGTTTAAAAAGGCTAAGGTCCCCCACTGCATCCAGAGCCATCTCCAGTCATCCTGATCTACATCTCCCCAATGGATCCCGATAGCCACAAAGAAGAAAGTGAGACTGGTTACTTTACACAGCTCTCCCTACTTTAAAATCCAATTCACTTCCTTGTCAAGGAATCACCTCCCTGATGTCATGGTCCTCTTTGAGAATGAATAAACAAACAACAGCAGCACTGTGGTACACACCAGACATACAGATATATTTACTATAACTGCAGTTCTTGACCTCAAAAATGTTATGCCCTGGTTATCCTAGGGGCTAACACATCAAAGGAGATTTAAATGTAAGGATTTTCCATAAGATATAGGTATTTACAAAAGGAATGGTGGAGAAGAATTCTGGAAAGTTAAGTGTTATACGTTCTAGGAGTAAGTAACCTATCAGTGGAAGTGGTGGCAGAGGCAAACTGACCTTCCAGGGTGAGAAATCTCTTTAGTAAGAAATCTCCTGCTTAGGTCCACAAGGTATCCAGTTGAGAGGATAAAGAGGAAAGGTACTATGAGTTCAGTAGAGTTCTTGTCAAAATGCCAGAAGAGCTAAGAGAGGGGGAAAAGTCTTTATATGAATCACTTCCTAGGAAATTCTGAATCATCAAGGTCCAAACTGTCTTCCAAAGTTGCACGGGTTGAAATGGTAGTTGGTAGAAAAAGTCTCCTCATGCTTAATGGACTTAGTTTTAATGGCCACTCCCCTTCACCCTCCATTAAACTCAGGTATATAATGAAATCAATTCTTGAAATTCTTGTGTTCTCAAAGGAGAACCAGTAAGTCTGTCTTGTACTTAGTTCACAATTCTTCATGTACCTAAACATATTGTGCTTCTTTCTGTAAAATTTGTGAATAAGTATCTAGACAGAGGATAGAATAATTTTTGAAATTTTAAGTATTGAAAGGTTAAAAGTTTCATCATTGGTCCCTTTATCCCCTAGACTTGGTAGCAGAGACAATAGTAGTAGCCAAACCACATCTTGGACCTAATCCAGCTGTGGTTTCACCTGTTAACCAAGAAAAGACCCACTTCAAAGAGTTAGTTGATCTAAGTAAGGGAGTCACCAGTCCAAAAATGTTTTGTATGCAAAAATATTCTTTCTCCTCATCCCTTTAGAAGATTCCTTCTCACCACTAAGTGGCCTTTGTAGCCTGGAACTTCGCACAACCCTTAGAGTTCTCTTGGCCTTTGGACAGTTCCTACCAGACTTTCATTTTGAAAAGGTCTCCAGATCAAGCATCCTTCATTATCTCAACTCTTCATCTGAATCTCTGGATTTCCACATTATGCCCAAAACCAAAAAGAATCTTCTCCCTGCCCCTCTCCTCATTTTTCTATGCTTTTGTAGGGGTTATCTATCCCCCATTATAGGACCTAAGCACATTGACTCTTTTTCTTTTTTTTTTTGTAGTTGTCCCAAGTTCTTAGCACAGTGTCAGGCCAAAAAATGACCATTTTAAAAAGATGTGTGTTGACTTTTTAGCAAGTCCACAGATTGATTTCTGGTTGTTTCAACAGATGAAGAGATGATATCTAAAAAAATAAAATTAAGGTATGAGAGAGGAATGTACTAGGAGAAGGAGAAAGGGAGAAGTAAAATGGGGTAAATTATCTCACACATAAAAGGGGCAAGAAAAAGCTTTTACAGTGGAAGGGAAGAAAGGGAAGGTGAGACAGAATGAGTGAATTTTACTCTCATCAGATTTGACTTAAGGAGGAAATAGCACACACACTAATTTGCATATGGAAATCTATCTTACCCTACAGGGAGTAGGGGGGGTAAGAGGATAAAAGAGGGAAGGGTAATAGAAGGGAGGGCCAATTTGGGAACGGTACAATTAGAAGCAAACACTTTTGAGGAGGGACAGGGTCAAAGAAGAGAACAGAATAAATGGGGGGCACAGGATAAGATGGAGGAAAATATACTTAGTCTTTCTCAACATGACTATTACGGATGTATTTTGCATGACTACACATGTATAGCCTATATCAAATTGCTTGCCTTCTCAATGAGGATGGGTGGGAAGGGAGCAAGGGAGAGAATTTGTGACTCAAAGTTTAAAAATGAATATTAAAAATTATGTCTCCCATGTCATACAATCAATTCCAAAGTTCTTAAGAAAGATATTGAGCTGGGCAGCTAGGTGGTGCAGTGGATAGAGTACAAGTCCTGGATTCAGGAGGACCTGAGTTCAAATCCAGCCTCAGACACATAACACTTACTAGCTGTGTGACCCTGGGCAAGTCACTTAACCCCATTGCCTAGCCAAAAAAAAAAAAAAAAAAAAGAGAGAGACAGAGAGAGAGAGGGATTGAGCATGTCCTAGTATCACTTCTTCTGACCATCATGTGAATACTTGCCCTGTGTGAGTTCTCCATAAAACAGTCTTTTTGCAAGTGGATGTTTGGCATTCAAACAATGTGGCCAGCACATTGGAGTTGTACCCTCTGTAGTAGAGTTTGAATGCTTGGCAGTTTAGTTCAAGAAAGGACCTCACTGTCTGGTATCTTATCCTGCCAGGTGATCTTCAGAATCTTCTTAAGACAATTCAAATAAAAGTGATTCAGTTTGCTGGCATGAAGTTTGTAAACCGTCCAGGGTTCACAGGCACACAACAATGAGGTCACCACAACAGCTCTGTAGACCTTCAGTTTGGTAGTCAGTCTAATAACTCTTCTCTCCCACACTTTCCTTCAGAGCCTCTCACACATTGAGCTAGCTCTGGCAATGTGTGTGTAAACTCCATTATCAATGTGTGCCTTGTATAATGCCAAGTTAAGTGAACTTATCCACAGCATTCAAGTCTTGCTCTAACTGATGGTTCCATGTATGGATGCTGTGGTGCTGGCTGATGGAGCACCTGTGTTTTCCTGGTGTTAATTGGCCAAAATTAGTACAAGCAACAGAAAATAGATCCATACTTTGCTGAATCTCTTCTCCAGAGGCTGCATGGAGTGCACAATCATTTCAGAACAAAAAATCATGCACCAACACTCCATCCACTTTGGTCTTGGCTTGTAGACTTTTGAAGTTGAGGAATATACCAACATGGATGAAAATATCTTGCTAAAAAGCATTCAATAAGACATAGCCTTGTTTCACTCCATTGGTAACTGGGAAAGCGAGAGAGTGTCATTCATTATTCAGAACAAAGGCAAGCATGCCATTGTGAAATTGACATACAGTATTAATGAACTTCTCCAGGCAACCAAATTTTGACATAATTTTCCATAAGCCCTCATGACTGACAGCATCAAAAGCCTTGGTCATATCTACAAATGTGGTGTACAGGCCTCTGTTCTGCTCCTTGCATTTCTCCTGGACTTGTTGGGCAGCAAATACCCTATCCATCATTACTCAGCCCTTTCTGAAGCTGCACTGGCTCTCGGGTAGATGAGCATCTTCCAGGTGAAGGATCAGCTTATTAAGATCAACTCTGTTAAGAATCTTGCCAACAGTGACTAAGAGAGAGACGCCCACCCTGTGATTGTCACAGGACAATCTATTTCCTTTACCTTTCTAGAGATGGACAATGAATGCAGCCTTGAACTCCGGGGATAATATCCTCTTGCAATATCACCAGGAAAATTTTGGAATGGAATCAACATGAGGTGCTTTGCCACAGGAAAGGAGTCTAATGGCATTCAAAACTCCTTCAGCTATAACTTCAGCTAGGAAGGGACTGATGTCAACCTGTGGTGAACAGGCAATGGCCTCAACATTGATTGATGACAATCTGTTGAGAATGCTATGGATGCACTCATTTCATCTCTCTAGGATCATGTCTTTATCATTATCGATGTGGCTCCATCAGCAATGAGTAGTTGAGATGTACCACAGGACTTTGGCCCATAAATAGCCTTCAGGGCATCGTAAAAGTGCTTTGGATTGTTGCTATCAACATAAAACTGAATTTTCTCTGCTTTCTTACCGATTCAAGAATCCTGCATCTTTCTAAGCTTTGCTTGTACCTCACTTTTGATGGAATTAAATGCTGCCTTACTAGAGACTGATGAACTATCCTGCTGGTAAGCCCTGTGGAATTCTCATTTTTCATTTAACAGCTCCTGAATTTCCCCGTCATTTTCATCAAAATAGTCTTGATATTTGTAAGAGTTCTAACCCAGATGAGAAAATGCAGTGCTGTATACCAAATCTCTGAAAGCTGCCCACTCCTTTTCTGCTTCACTGTTGTCAACTGTGTGTTGGCCCAACTTTCCTTTCAAGTTAGCAACAAACTGTTCCCTCTCAGAGAAGAGCTCTAATCTGCTGGCATTAATTCTTCTGGTAGTCATTTTGCCTTGCGGAAGCTGCTTTTGTTAAATGTAAATGTTTAACTTAGAGAGGATAAGTCTAAGATCAGTCCAGCACTCTGTGCCACACATTGCCTTAGTTATTCTCATATCCTGTCTGTCTCTTCTCCTTACTATCCCATAGCCTCTTAAATGCCAATTTTGAGTTTGGGCTAGAGAATTTTTCCTTCTAGAATGAGCCCTGGGGCACAATTCTTGGCATCAGAGAAATTTCATTCTCCCTGGAACCATGACAGAAGTATAATGCATGTCATAGAAATACTTGGTAAAGGAATTGTTGATGTTTGGGTTGAAGAAGAGGGGAGATGAATTGGAGAGGACATGTACCTATGCTCAAATATTTACATAACAGCTTCATGCAGGAGATACTAAAATGTTCTAGTTGAATCAACATGAAAAAAAATAGGATGAATGAGTCAATGTTTCAAAGAAGCTGACTCAGTTACAAAATTAAGATAAAAAGTGTAATTGGTTGATTTGTCTAAAAGGGGAATGGTCTTTTGGGAGGTACCTGAGTTTTCCCTCATTGAAAAGTTTCAAGTAGAGACTTAGTAATTGCTTTATGGAGATATTGGAGAAAAGGTTCTTGATCAGCTTCAGTTTTAGAATTTCATTCACACTGTTACATTTCATAATAGATTAATTTTGTGACCTATATTACAAATTAAAATTAGTAAGCATTTATCATTTATTATTTATTTATTACAGCTGCTCTGTGTAAGCCATTCATAGCTGCTTGATATACAAATGTATTGGAGGATAAATTCCTACTCTGAAGGAACTTGAATCACCATTCCAGTCTTAATTCTTTTTCATTTAGATCACCTATGGCCTATTTGGTGTTCTTCCTACTGATAAGATTCAATATCTGTATGTCTATCAGATGGGCATCAGGGAATCTGCTCTTCACCACACATTCATCTAATTGATGCTCCATTTTGGCTAGACTTGGGTGGGAGTGGTACTTTCAGATAATGAGAGAGGTGAAAATTTCTTCAGTGATCTGAAAGAGGAGATGGTCAGGAATGGTCTGTGTGTAGCCTTTAAGGAAAGAGTGTCCCCAAATGTTGCATTTGATGAGCATTATAATCTCACTTCTAGGATCATTGCATCATCAAATGTGATTTTCATCTATGGAGATACAGACTCCCTTCAACAACTTGTGTTTGCATTTGTTAATTACGTACTTTATGGGAAGATGTTGGTTGCCACCACTTCTTGGGATTTTTCTTTTGATTCTAGTTTTAAATACCTTGCCCATTTTCATGGTATAATACTATTTTCTCATTCCCAGATGGAGATTCTTGGTTTCACAGATTTTGTAAGAAACCAGAATTCCGGTGTGAACCCTGGGGACATTTTCCTAAAGGCTTTCTTGGAATCAGCTTTTAAGTGCAGAATTTCAGACAAAAGTCACATAAAAATATTACACTTTATCTGCTCAGAAAGTGTTTCCTTCACAAATTTACATAATATGAAATTTGACACGATCATTATGGAACTGAGTTCTAATGTTTACAATGCAGTATATTTATTGGCACATGCTCTCCATCAGATGCTCCAGTCTGAGGCAAAAGATACATCAGAATTTGGAAGTAACCCAGAACTTTCTTGGAAGGTAACATTCCTCTTCCACTCCTGGGCCTTAGCACAGGGTACTCACAACATTCATTTGTTAGTTGTCTGTTCTATAGATGATGCAGCAGTGACCTGAGTCAACAGTACTACCTCATGTTCCCCAACACTTTGTCCTGCCTTTTTTTATTTGTTCTTACTTTGAATTCTGGGGGAAAGCAATGAAATTACCTCATATGATAGGTTGCTATAGCAACCTTGGTGAAGTTGTTGGTGTTCTTCCTTTTACACATCTCTTTGGGCATGAGTCAATGTGACAGGACAGTTTCATTAAATTGGTTCCATTTTAGCCCCTTTACAGTTGCCTAGTTCACAACATTGCAAATGCCAAGGTGCTTTGTGGGAATTTCTAATCGATCAATTTTAATTTCTATCAACATCTATAGCTGAGCAGCATACTTTACTTGATATTTGTACACGAGTACACTTGCTTCAATAATGCATTCATTTTTTTTTAAATGTAGAGGAATTCTTTATTGGCAACTGTATCCTAGATATGATGATTTTTAATGCTTGAAGGAATTGATTGCTATGGCAGAAACGTTCAGAAACTTGGCACATAGGGAATGAACATATCCTAGTATAGTTTACAATACAAGAGTGGACATCTGGATACAGAACGATCAGCATTCTAGATTTGAGAGAGCATGTTTCAAACATCTCAATGAGAAAATGCCTGCAGTTTGAAATTCTATGAGATCAGTTATCCCAGGATAGATAGGAAGTTCTAAGATAGTAATTCAGTAGTCAAAAAGAGAAATGATTTCAATGAGGAAGAAAAAGAGGACTTGTTTTTATACAGTAATGATGAGGCTCCAAAAGCTCAGCCACCAAGTCAGATGTATACATCATATGTACAGGAGAAGGAACAATGGGCATGTAAGATATTAATAAGATAAAACATGAAATAGTCCTGTAAGAATAGTACCAAGAGAATCAAAGATCAAATTTATCTGAGTTTGCTGAAGAAATGAGGTTAATAGGAAAAGTTAGTATTTTGACTTCTTACACATTTTAGATTGTTTGAAAAAAGGGTGACTGAAGAATAAATTAGAACATACCTCTGAATGGTTAGAAACATGATCATTGAAAATAGAAAAATGGGGGGCAGAGCGAATATGGCAGAGTAAAAGCAGTGACTTGCTTGAGCTCTCCCCTAAACCACTCCAAATACCTGTAAAAAATGGCTCTAAACAAATTCTTAAGCAGCAGAACCCACAAAAAGACAGAGTGAAACAAATTTACAGCCCAAGACAGACTGGATGGTTGATCAGAAAGGTTTATCATGCTGGGTTGTGAGAGGATTGCAGTTCCGCATGGGCCCTCAGGCAAGGCCAGCCTCAGCGAACCTGGAGCAGGCCTCAGAGGACTGAATCACGGGCAGCTGGGGCAGTTTCCAGACTTTTCAACCCACGAACGCCAAAGACAACTTAGAAGGGCAGTGGGAAAAGTCTGCATCTGTGGTGAGAGAGAAGCATCTCAGCCCCAGTCTCCGATGCCCAGCCCCGAGGTTGCAGCTGCTTCCAGAGATTCCAGCCCAGAGACTGAGGGGAAATGGAGCAGTTGATCAGAGGGGGATGGCAGGGATCTCTTTGCTGGTGCTTTGGCAGGATTCTCTTGTTTTGCCTGTGCTTTGATCTGGGTGGTAGTTCTAGATGGCGGTCACAGGGGAAAGAAAAGTACTGGCATGATGGAGCCTATGGTCATGGTGGAGAGGGAATCCTCCTCACAGTTCCAAGGCAGAAAAGAGTGCTTGTCATCACTCACAGGCCAAGAAAGGAATAAACACCTCGCCTCTTATCATACCCCCTTGGAAGAACTGAAAATTTACATGTCCCTAGAAGTATCTTTGAAAACAGTTGCACAAAACCCCTGAAGCTTGGGACAGTACATTCTCCACACTGGAAGCAGACCCCTACCTTAACAAAAAGTTTAAAACTCAAGTAATTGACTGGGATCATGAATAAAAAAAGGTTCAAAAAAGTCAGACCATAGAATATTTCTTTGGTAATAAATATCAAAACATACAACCAGAAGAAGACAACAAAGTCAAAGTTCCTACATCCAAAGCCTCCAAGAAAAATAGGAATCAGTCTCAGGCTATGGAAGAGCTCAAAAAGGAGTTTGAGAAACAAGTAAGAGAAGTAAAGGAAAAACTGGGAAAAGAAATGAGAGTGATACAAGAATCATGAAAAACAAGTCAACAGTTTGCTAAAAGAGACCCAAAAAAATACTGAAGAAAATAACACCTTAAAAAATAAGTTAACCCAAATGGCAAAAGTGGTCCAAAAAGCCAATGAGGAGGAGAATGCCCTAAAAAGCAAAATTGGTGAAATGGAAAAGGAAGTCCAAAAGATTACTGAAGAAAATTCTTCTTTAAAAATTAGAATGGAGTGATTGGAAGCTAATGACTTTATGAGAAATCAAGACACTGTAAAACAAATCCAAAAGAATGAAAAAATAGAAAACAATGTGAAATATCTCAGTGGAAAAACAACTGACCTGGAAAATAGATCAGGAGAGATAATTTAAAAATTATTGGACTATCTGAAAGCCATGATCAAAAAAAAAAAGAGCCTAGACATCATCTTTCAAGAAATTATCGAGGAAAACTGTCCTGACATTTTAGAACCAGAGGATAAAATAGAAATTGAAAGAATCCACCAATCACCTTCTGAAAGAGATCCCCAAAGGAAAACTCCTAGAAATATTGTAGCCAAATTCCAGAGTTCCCAGGTCAAGGAGAAAATATTGCAAGCAGAGAGAAAGAAACAATTCAAGTATTATGGAGCCACAGTCAGGATAGTGCAATATTTAGCAACTTCTACATTAAGGGACCACAGGGCATGGAATATAATATTCCAGAGGGCAAAGGAGATAGGATTACAGCCAAGAATCACTTGCCCAGCAAAACTGAGTATAATCCTTCAGGGAGAAAAAATGGTCATTCAGTGAAATAGGGGACTTTCAAGCATTCTTGATGAAAAGACCAGAGCTGAATAGAATATTTGACTTTCAAATACAAGATTCAAGTGAAACATGAAGAGGTAAACAGGAAAGAGAAATCATAAGAGACTGATTAAGGTTGAACTGTTTATATTCCTGCATGGAAAGATGATATTTGTTAACTCATGAGACTTTTTTCAGTATTAGGGTAATTGGAGGGAAAAATTATATGTATGTATATAGGTAGATAGATAAATAGATAGCACAAGGTGAGTTGAAGATGAAGGGGTGATATCTGGAGAACAAAATTAAGGGGTGAGAGAGGATTATACTGGGAGAATGAGAAAGAGAGAGACAGAATGGGGAAAATTATCTCACATGAAACAGACAAAAAGAAGGCTTTTACAGTGGAGGGGAAACAGGGGAAGGGGAAAGGGAATGAGTGAATCATAGGATTTGGCTTAAGGAGGGAATAACATACACACTCAATTGGGTATGGAAATGTATCTTAGCCTACAGGAAAATGGGGGGGGGAAGGGGACAAGAAGCAGGGGGATGATAGAGGGGAGGGCAGATTGGGGGAGGGAGTAATCAGAAGCAAACACTTCTGAGGAGGGAAAGGGTCAAAATAGAGAATAGAATAAATGGGGGGCAGGAGAGGATAAAGGGAAATATACTTAGTTTTGCACAATATGACTACTATGGAAGTGTTTTGCATTACAACACATGTATAACCAGTAAAAAGACAAAAGAGAGGGAAAAAGAAAATAGAAAAATGGCCACTCAATTATTATTTCTTCATTTTATCTTCCACTTCCACTCAGAATGAGTTTTGTAATGGAATAAAAAAAAGAAACACTTAATAAGGAACTGCTTTGTCTGGGTCCGAATAAGGTAATGAGATATCTGTAGCCAATTTCTCAGTTAGCAAAATGAGCTAAGTAAATGATAGTCCAACTAGAGCAAATATTGATGTAGGCCAAGTCCAAAAATTGGATCAACTAAATATAGCTTTTGAGGGCATTTGAGAATTTGGGTCTGTACTCATAAATCAGAGGGAGAAGTTTCAGCCTTTTGTTAACTGGCTCTTTTATTGTTTTAATGATTTTTTTTTCATTTTTTAGAACCAGGTAACTCTGATAATTGACATAGTGCTAGGTCTAGAGTCAGGATGAACTCAATTAAAATCTAGCCTCTTAATAGCTGTGTTATCTTGGGTAAGCTATTTACCTTCTATTTGGAAAAACAATTATTATTTGTATCATAATTATCATTTATAAAATAATTCCTAAGAGTATAATATTATGTAATTACATAATATATATAATGTAAAATACATGAGAAAATGTATCATTGTATAATAATAATACAAATAGCACGTTCTACCTCTTCCATTTCTATTACTACTTCTACTACTATTACTAGTAGTAGTAGTAGTAGTAGTAGTAGTAGTAGTAGTATCACTACTAGTACTACTATGACCACCAAGGCAATTACTACAAGTACTACTGTCACAACTAAGTTCTGGCACAGTTCTAGAATAGATGCTTCTCTCTTTTTTTTCTATAAATGAAAGCTTGATTTATTGTTTTGTTGACTGTCTACAAAGAAAAAGATTGTGTAGAAACAAAGTGATGGTCAAATAAAAAAGGTAATAATG